TATTTAGGCACCTTCACACCTCCCGTTACACCCAGGCTTCCCACCCCGCTGCACCAGCGTGCGTTGCATGGGATAACTAAAGCCCATGCCAGTAAAGCAGATGGGCCTCACCTGCTGCTGGAGCTCCCACCTTCTGTTTCAGACACCTCCCTGCCCCGTTTGGGACCATTAATGCAAAATGACAGCAGAGATATCAGAAGACATGCAAGATCATTGTCCCCCACCCCCCAGGCCATCCTCACTCACCCCAGCATTTCCCAGGCTGGCAGCAGGGAAAGCAGCTCCTTCCATCAGGATCATCACACTAGGATTATTGCTTTGGGAAGGTGTCTGGGAGCCTGGTCTCTGGAGGAGATGCCTGAAGGGAAGGGAAGGGTACAGGCTGCCCTGCCCAGGGCCAGACACTGCTCAGGCAGCCCCTGAGGCAGGGAGAGGGGCTGGGGCTGCTGTTATAGTTTGGGGGTGCCTCAACCCACAGCCAGCCCTGGCTCTGTCCCTGCCCATGCTGCTCTCAGTTGCACCCCCAGCTCAGGAAGCTCAGCCCCCTCCCAGCAAACCCCTTTCATAGGGCATTAAGCAGTGCCTCTACATCTGCCCCAGCTGTGCCCAAATCCTGCCTTCCCAACAGAGGGAGCTTAACCCCTCAGCCGCTGGGCCCACGGTAGCCCCTCATCCCCACTCTAGAGGCACAAAAGCCCCTCTCCGCTCAGTGAGGACCACAGCATCCTGAAAGGACTGCTCCGCGCTGGCTCTGGCAGGGGGGGCTGGAGGCAGGGGATGCAGGCAGCTCTGTCCCAGTGCTGGGGGCAGGCAGATGCACAGTCAGCCCTGTGCAAGGGGAGGAGGAGGCTCCCTCCCTGCCTTATTTTTAGCCAGCTCATTAGCCCAGTGATTGCAAGGCACTTAGGGAAGCAAGTCCTTCCCTCCTAGCCAGCATGCCAAAAAAAAAAAAGGGTGAAGAGAAAGAAAAAGCTCCCAAAACAAACTCTGAGGCAGCAGTCCATCTGCCCTTCCATTCAGTTTCCCCCCAGACCTGTGAGGGGTAATCACAGCTGCTGGGAAAGGCTCTCTGATCCGAGCAGGAGCAATGCTAAAGCAACCCAGGGCTCAGGAGAGGCCCGGCCCTGGTGTGTTTGCGCTCTGTCGAGAAATTACTTCAGCGTTTAAAGGTCAGGCCGGGTCTAGGAGAGAGATTGCACAAAGCCTCCCTCTGCTGCGTGCGCCTGCCAGCTCCAGGGGTGCAGAGTCCCCGCAGAGCTGGGGACTCAACAGGCAGGGTTCCGATCCCGAAGCCAGGCCACCTGGAAAGGACGAGGCAGATTTGCCCCAAGCAGCTTTTTGTGTTGCATCAGGAGAAAGGATGGCTGGATGCCACCAAGAAAGAGGCTTCAGTTGCTGCACACAAACACACGGACACGCTCCCAGAGCTATTTCGCTGCGTCCCTGCATGCTCTCCCAGGGAGCAGAGGCGACACGGAGGCTGAGCAAACATAATAAGCTGAGTAAGCGAGAGCAGGATGGCTTTAATAATTCAGAGAGGACGGGGAGCGTGGCAAAGCAGGGGCACTCAGCCACTCCGGCTGCCACGTGTGCCTGTCCCCCTGCCTGCAAACGTCCCTCTGGGCTTTGACCATAGGGAGTTTTCCTTGGCGACAAGCCCCGGGTGTGATTGCAATTCCAATGGGTGCTGAAGTGACCTGGCTGTGGGTGCTGGGGAGAGGGAGCAGCCTGAAAACCTCGGTTCATGCACAGCAGAGCAGTGTGAAGGTTTCGGCTCCTGCACCGGCTGTATGTCCGGCAGCACTTCCCCCATTCCGTTTCTCCAAAGCTGTGTTTTTGAGCCTGCGTGCTGCCATCCCATGGGGACTGCCGAGGGATTTGATTTCACTGTCGGCACCCACACCCACTCAAACAATGTTTTGGGTTAGGCCAGCTGAAAACAGCAGAAAAGAGCTCATCTAACCCAGCACGGCCAGCTGAGCAGCTCCTCCAGTGCCCGGGTGTTGCAGGATGCAGTCCAGGCTTGTGATGCTGTGCATCTTGCCCCTCCACCCTGCACGAGCTTGTGGGAAGGCTCAGTCCATGCACCCCGTGGTTTTGGGGCATCGTAAGGGTGAAAGGCAGTTCTGGGGAACGTGGGCAGAACCTGTCTGGCAGCATAGGATTCATCCCTGTGGTCTGCCAAAACCGAGATACGGCACAGGATTAGGAGCTGGGAAAATTACTGCCTCCAGCCAGAGAGAGGAGATGCCAGGGCCTTGGGGTGGCAGGGTCCCTGGGAAGCTGCGCGGTGGCCCTGAGCTCAGCCGCATACTTGTAATTCCTGAAGGGTTTGCTGGGGTGAGGGGGTGGTGGGAAGGGTGCTTTTCTGGAAGCATGAGCTAGGAGAAACACTCAGCCAGGGAGAGATGTGGCTGCAGTCATCACATACACAGCAGCAGTTCAGGGAGTGAGTTTAGGGACTCATAGAATCATAGCATCATAGAATGGTTTGGGTTGGAAAGGACTTTTAAAGGCCATCTAGCCCACCCCCCTGCCATAAGCAGGGACACCTTCAACTCAACCAGGCTGCTCAGAGCCCAGTCGAACCTCTCCTCGAATGATTCCAGGCATGGGACATCTGCCACCTCTCTGGGCAAACCGTTTCAGTGTTTCGACGCCACCCTCCTTGTAAAAAATTACTTCCTTATATCTAGTCTAAATCTACCTTCTTCTAGTTTAAAAGCATTACCCCTTGCCCTAGCACTACAGCCCCTGAGTCTGGGGCTTTGGGACCCCTACTCCAACCCCACAAGCCATGCCAACACTGCGCCTTCTTCCATTTCCACTGCTTAAGAAAACTGAGGCATGGAGGGGTGAGCCCTCACATCTGGTCTGCATACATCATGCAGATGCATGGACCCAGCAGCACGGCACGTGGCAGCAAACACAGCAGCAGTGAGGGTGACGTAGGGCTGGGAAGAGGGCAGGTGGTGGAGGCATCACCCAGCATGCAGACAAGGCACCCTTGTTGGGCTGGGATGTGCTCCGGCACCCAGCAAAGCAGCCTCTGCAAGGATTGGGAAGAGGGAGAGGTTCCAGGGGCACCCCAGGGGGAATTACAGCCTCTCCCTATCCCCCAGCTGCGGGAAGGCACCACAGCTGTCATCGGCCCCCACATCCTGAGCTCCGAGGATGAGGACTCCCCGGCGGAGGAGGTGACCTATTCCATCCAGCCCCCGGCCAACGGGAAGGTTGTGCTGAGGTCAGCACCTGGCGCTGAGGTCCGGCGGTTCACCCAGGCCCAGATAAACAATGGCCTCATCCTCTTCATGCACCAAGGTAGGGCAGGGCTTAGGTGCCCCCCAGCATCACCCCCACCCTGGGGGAGGAGACACCACCAGAGGGGAGCACTGTGCCACCGAGGCAGATGCTAACCCCATCACACAGCACCCTGATCCAAACCATGCCAAGTTTAATGGGGGGCTGCAGCCCCCCATAAATGCCCAGCTCTGTGCTTTCCACAGGGCCCCTGGATGGAGGCTTCGCCTTTGACCTATGGGATGGTGAGAACCTGTCTCCTGGGCACTTCTTCCTTGTCAGAGCCCAGAGGGAGCCCCTCATCAGCCTGGCCAAGAAGCAGAGCCTCACTGTCTGCCCAGGTGAGTATGGGCACATTCCCCATCCTCCCAGTTCAGTGGCAAACAGGGCCCTTGGACCCTCCCACCACCCCCTGCCCAAGCCTGGGTGCTGTCAAGAGATGCCCATGGCAGAGGCTGCGGGCAGGTGGTGAGGCTATAGCTCGAAGTCCATCCTTGCTGCGTTTTCCAGGTTCCCTCCAGCCCATCACCAGCCAGAACCTGCAAGCAGTGAGCAACAGCCCCACCGGCTCCACCACCCTGTACTACAGCATCGAGCAAGCCCCACGCCTGGGCAGGCTGGGCACCTCCCAGGGGGAGGAAATCAGGAACTTCACCCAAGCCCAGGTGAGCTTTCACCTCCCCCAGCATCCTAAGGCACAGCCCTCCATCACCTCTGCAGTCCGGGAGTCCCAGCCCAAGCCCCCCTGGCAGGGGCTGCCACCACGGGCAGAGGTACCTGGTCCCTGGCAGGAGGCAGAGCAAGGCTGCAGCCACACCATGACCTTCCCAGCCCTGCCGTCAGCTGTTAAGAGGGATTATGGGTTGCCACCCCAGCACCAGCTTTACCACAGCCACCAGCCTTGGATTTAGTGCTGGGGGAGGCTCAGAGAGTTATAATCCCCTTTTATTAGGCTACCCCCTGCTGCAGACCCAGCCATCCTGGCTGCTGCCTAAGGCAAGAGCCAAGCGCCATGCTTTCACCCCTGCTCTCAGCACAGCCTTGCTACCACCCTTCTCCCACAGGGCCAGGCTTTGGCAGAGCACGGCCAAGGCTTTATTTCTAACCATCACTCAGAAGCCACAGGCTTCTGGCTCAGGTTTGCCCAGACTGCAAGCTCCCCTATGCTGGGCTCACTCTTGGAGGTAGCCTGGCCCAACTCAGCCCTCCCTCTGAACTTCAATTTTCCCAATTGTTGGACAGAAACATCCTGGCATAGAGGCACCACGAGTTCTCGACGGTGGCTACCATGCCATGGCTGGCGATCCCTATTTCTTACCTAATTAGGACACGGCTGCTCCTTCCTGGCGCCAAGAACCCACAGTCCACACACTGGCTCTAGCACAGCATCACCAACTGCTACAGTGACCATCACACCAGAGATGAGAGAGATGCACCCATCTCCTACATGGTATCACCCACTCTGGGTTTATTTTGCCATAATTTAGAAGAGCTCATTGAGGGTTTTTTAAAATTATTTTTAGGTGGACAGCGGGTTGATTTTCTACCAGCATGAGATGCCAGAGAAGCCTTTCTGGCTCACCCAAGATGCCATCCGCTTCCGTGTGGTAGCTCCCACAACCATCTCAGACTCCTTCATCCTCCTTGTGCTGATCTCCTTCGAGGCCAGCTGTCCCCAGCGCTCAACTCAGCTGTGGAGAAATGCAGGTAAATGAAGGGAGAAGCAAGGGATAAACCAGCCCTCCGAAACAGGGGGATTGTGCAAACTTCAGGAAGGCTTGTTTGTCTGAAGACACCAGTGTGCCAATTCCCACGGCCACCCAGCCATGAGCTCGGACATTATGTCAAGCAACATCTAAAACTGCAGCCATCCTTTTGCTGTCTCTCTGTGCAATTCCCTCCTCCATCATCTTACCAAACTAATATGTCTCAGTTGCCTTCTCATCCCTCTCCATTTCCTTGCAATCTTCCTTTTCTGCTACAGCTTGCTCTTGTCTGGGTCTGCTCTCCTCCCCAGCAGATCCTGGCTCTTCCCAGGGATGACAGACCTTTGGGTTTTCCCTTTTCTCCCCAGGTCTACAGCTTGCAAGGGCTCAACAGGCTGAGATCAGCACCTCAGTACTGGATGCCTCCAACCTCCTCAGCCAAATCCCAGTCTCCGAGAGGGCTGCGTACAATGCGGTCTTCCTGGTGACGGAGCTACCGGCTCATGGGCAGCTCTTGGTGGCTGGTATGCCCCTGGAGCGGTCACAGCCGTTCTTCCTGCAGTCAGACCTGGCTGCGGGGCGCCTGATGTATTCCCATGGTGGGGATGGCATCTCTGAAGACCATTTCAGATTCAAGGCTTGGCTCCGGCCCCAAGCGCAGCAGTCCCTCCGTCCTCCACAGGAAGGGGTGGTCTTTTTTCCCGGCAGCAGCAGCAAGCCGCTGCAGGTGGTGACACGGCGGGGAGTGCTGCGGGTCTCATCGGGCTCGGTGGTGACCTTGTCCCAGGAGTACCTGGATGTGGCAGACCCGTCGGGGTCCCCCGAGGAGATGCTGTACAGCATCCTCCAGAGACCTCTTGCTGGCCACCTGGCCAACGCACACAACCCACAGGAGCCCATCAGCCGCTTCACCCAAGCGGATGTCAATGCAGGCCACGTGGTGTTTGTTGCCACCACTAGCCGTGCCCCTGAGTCATTAGCCCTAAGCCTCTCCGATGGCCACCACCCCCCCACCCTGGCCTCACTGGAGATCGAGGTGCTGCCTGCGGTGAGCACTGCTGCCAGCCCGGTGCTGCTGGAGGTGCCGCAAGACCTGAACAGGGCCTCCATGTCCCGCCATCACCTCCTGGGAGCTGCACAGCCAGGGCCAGGCAATGCCCAGTACAGGATCACCCGGGACCCAAGGTTTGGCCAAGTGCAGGTCAACCAAAAGACGGCACGAGGCTTCTCGCAGAAGCAGCTGGACCGCGGGGAGGTGACGTTCACCTTCACTGACCTCACCTCACCCAAGGATGACTTCCAGTTCCTCGTCATGTCACGAGCAGCAAACAGGACCGGGGTGGTGAACGTGACCGTCCGCGCCTTGGTGAAGGCTCGGCCAGGCAGCGTATGGCCCAGGGGCACCACAGCTCTCCTGGACACCAGTGTCCTTGATGCCAGTGAGCTGGCCAACCGCACCAAGAGCGTCCCAGTCTTCAAGATCTGCAGGGCGCCACGTGCCAGCCATCTTGTGAGGGTCTCCAGGGAGCCAGGACAACCCGCCACCACGACTGAGACCTTCAGCCAGAGTGAGCTGGAACAAGGGCTGATTGGGCTGGAGGTGCTGGATGCTGGGGAGACAGACCAGCCCCTGCAGAGCGACAGCTTTATCTTTGAGCTGGCAGCTGCTGGTGTGCCACCAGCACTAGCATCCCTGGGGTACAGCGTCGAGCCCTACAATGCCTCGAAAGCCTATGGTGTCACCCTGCTCACAGCCCCCCTGGCACCCTCATCCCCAGCGCCCCAGGGCACAGCATGGAGCAGCCCCAACACCAGCGAGCTAGGCATGCCTGCCACTGCCTGGCTGGGCCCCAGTGCTACCACCAGCCCCAGCCCCATGGAGGGAGGCACCTTCCTCAGCTTCATCGAGGCCAACATGTTCAGCATCATTATCCCCATCTGCCTTATCCTCCTCCTGCTGGCTCTCATCCTGCCCCTGCTCTTCTACCTGCACAAGCGCAACAAGACTGGGAAGCACCATGTCCAGGGCACCCCCTCCTCCAAGGCCAAGAATGGGGCCGTGCCAGACCAGGAGACCTTCCGGAGGACGGACCCCAACCAAGGCATCCCCCTAACGACTGTCAATGCCCTGGAGGGCAAGGGCATGGGTCCCCCACCCCAGGGCGGGGGTCCTGGGGCACCACCAGACCCTGAGCTCCTCCAGTACTGCCGGACTTCCAACCCCCCCTTGAAAAACAACCAGTACTGGGTGTGAAGGGCTCAGGCTCAGAGGCACGAGACCACCCGGGGGTCCGGACCCTCCAAGAGCACTGCCAGCCACCTCCTTCCAGCTCTCCTCCTTCTCCCTGGGAGCTGGCATCCCGCAGCTGTAGGAGGACCCTGGGAATATGGGGACTGCTGGTCCGGCCCACTCGGGAGCCCCAGATCTCCAGGTGGCTTTTGGGCAGGGGTGGGGGGCACTGCATAGGCAAGAGGGGGCAGGCAAAATGCCTGGGCATCCCTGGGGAACACTGACTTCAGGTGCTCATTTGGGCCATGGTTCTGGAGGGGACTGATGCCACTGGTCCCCACCGAGCTATTGGTGGCTCCTCCACGGACAGCACTGACCACAGCTCTCCACGCACCAGGGAGGATGAGCAGCAGCTTGCGCTGAGTCAGGCTGGGGATGAAGCTGCCCAAATCCCCAAGGGCTAGGCGGGCTGAGACACTGGAGCAGAGGCTCGGAAAAAACTCTGTGGCCAATGCCAGGGGAATTTAAGGAGTCCCCACCCACTTGGAAAAAAAACCGCCTCGCTCTCTCTGCGTGCTTGCTGTGTGTTTCATAAAGCAGATTGCACTGAGCCCGGGGGGAGGGGTGTTGCACAACAGGTAGGATGCCCTCGGCAGGCACTCACCTGGGCGGCGTGAAACCAGAGAGGAGAGCAGAGAACCGGAGCCAGCACGGTTTTCCACTGTATACTCTAGTTCAGCAGAAGTAAACAGAATAAAGTGCCTTTTTTGGGGTGCATCACAGTTTTCGTAAGCCATCTCCCTTATGTCGCTGCTCCTTGCCAGGCCTGTTATAAGCCCAGTGAGCTGCCGAGTGACATTTGGAGGTAATGGACCAAATTCTGGGCTCTTGCTCAAACTTTCCCCAGCCTGGAGTCTTAAAAACTTAAATAGAAATTATCTGAGGAAGAGCAGAGGAAAAACTGAGGTCTGAGCTCAGGATGGGACCCAACAATAACACCCTGTCTTGCTACAGCTGGGAAGCTCATCACAGGGCACATCCCACTCTGACAGCACTGATGGGAAGCTGAATTGAGACCACAGGGGATGCGTCACACTTGCACCCCTCTCCCCCAGGGTAAAATCCATCCCAAGTGTCCATGCACGATCCCTCCCCAAACCAGACCCCGGGCTGTTCCACTCCAAGGCTTGGACCACGACAGCAGATTTCCCGGCTGAAGGTATGGTGCCAAGCATTTGCCGAGCGGTAAATCCCACCCGCCCCGCTGCAGCAGATGGGCGCCAGCACGTCCCACAGGGCACCCGCAGCCAGCATGCAGGCAGGCAGCCCCGTCTCCCCTCACCTCATGTGTGCCCCAGCCCCACGGCGTGGGTGAGATGGGGCACAGCAGAGGCAGTCCCAGCACCTCCAAGCCCTCTTGGCCCATTGGTCCGTGCCAATGGGTGCCACACTGCTCCCTTCTTCCCTGCTGCAACCTCCCCACCCTCAAAACCCTCCTCCTGCCCCATCTGTGTGGGGGGGTGTGTGTGTGAGATGAGATGTTTCTTTCTGCGCAGAGGCAAATCACATCCTCTCCCCTGTGTAAAATGGGGACAGTGCAACCCAGCTACCCACGTCACGGCTCAGAGCTTGCCAGGACAGTGCTGCTCACAGAAGGTCAAGACAAGCTCTCCCCCGCAGAGCAGAGAGTCGTATCCAGATCACAGCTCTGTGCCTTCCCAGTCACATTCAAACAAGCATGTTTACTCCTTATCCAAGTACACACACCCTCAGCAAGGGACAGAGGTTTGCAGAGAAGCCAGTGGCATCCACTGAGGGCCCCCTTGGAAGTATCCATGGTGTTTTCCTTTCGAATGATTTTTGCCTCACGCCCAGGGATTAAATAGAAGGAACGTGGCCTATTTTGTAAGGAGCATTGAAAGCGAAGCAGGTTATTTTTAAGGCTTGTGGTTGTATTCCCGCTGCTGGGAAACATTCACTTCCTGAGGTCAGGGGAGGACAGTCAGTAACCTGGAAAACACCAGCGAGGATCGTGGTTCTCCAGGGCCAAGCTCTGCTGGCAGGGTTGAAATCCTCAACTAAGCTTGTGGCTCCGCTTGGGTCACTGGGGGTTTGCAGCAGGATGGCTAGGGCAGGATCAGGCCCAGCCTCAGGGCTGCCCACTGCCACCCCCCAGGAACGCTATCCCCCCACCCCGAGGAGGGCTGAGGGTCTAGGCAGGCTCCTGCACAGCCAGAGAACACACAAACCACAGCCCAAACAAGCTCAGAAGTTGCCTGGCCAGGCTCTTTGGCTTTCCCACATCAGGAGCTGGCACGGCGTCTCTGGCTGGGGCATAGCACCAAAGCTGCCCGCTCAGAAGTGCAGCCCCATCCCCCACAGTTTGGGCCAGAACCACTCTGATCTGGGAGGTTTTGGGGGTGACAGGAGCTGAGCTGCACCCTTCCCTGCCAAGCTGGTTATAAGGCTTGCAGAGATTTAAGGAAGGTGCTTACAGCTGCTCTGCCAGATGTGCAGTTCCTCCCAAGACAGGCCAGATGTGCACAGCTGGCTGACAAGAGCCAGCTGTACCCATGAACTCACATGCTCTATTCTTGGGAAGCACCAGGAAGGGCAGAAGAGGGGCTGTGAGAAGGTGCTGAGGGCCCCTAGATCAAGACCCCCTGTACATGTACATGCAGCTTCTGCTGGCACCCAGCTCAGGGGATGAGGCAGGCCAAGGGGAAAGCCAGCCCACAGCTGGCTAAAGCAAAGCCTCGAGTCACCAAGGGAAAACAGGGGGTGGCAGAAAGCAGGGTAGGAGACAGAAGACACCCAAATACAGAGGCAAAAAGACAGTGGGTGAGTTGCAGTGACTCACAGAGGTGTGACAGGATTGAGATGACAAACCATACCTGCCACCACCTCCTAAATGATAGGAAAAGGCATATCAAAAGCAAGGACATCCCCAGGTAGAGCCACCCAGGAGGTGCAAGGACTCGATAGTTGGTATCCCTTGTCCCCTTTGCCACCTCCACACACCCTGAGAGACTGCCTGGGTAAGAGCATCGCTGTGCCCAACCACCAGATTACCAGGTGGTCACACGGGGCTCACAAGTAGCAGAAAAGCTGATGAATTTCATTTATATTTTGTTCTTAATTAAAAGTAACCCGTTCTCCTCCCCCACTGGGAAGCCCCTGCAGCTGGATCCCGTGGCAGGATACAGCCTGGGCTAGATCAGTCGGGAAGTCCCTGCAGCCCTGCTGGAATTTCAGCACAGCACTGGGGTTAACATCCAGATTTGAGCTCAGATCAGCAGAGATGAGAGCAGCGCTGGTGCGTGGCTGAGGCAGAAGGCAACCTTGCTGGTCTGACACCTCTTTGGATTACTAACAGTACCAGCATCGTGGCACCAGCACTGCTCAGGAGCCACAGACGCCAGGGAGGGGATGGACAGGAGCAGGAGAGGAGTCACAGCTCTGGTGACATGAACCAGTTTCCAGGCACCTGCTCAAATGCAAACAAGTAAGCCAAACAGGTTTCTTTCAGCATCCACCCAGGGCAGATAAGATCATTTGGCTTTGAACCCCTCCCGGCAAGCTTTAGCCATGCAAATGCAGGGGTTCAACAAATGAGGGACTTCACTCCCTGCCAGGCTTCAGGCCAGCACATCCAATCCAATCCAGGCCAGACACCATGTCCTCAGCCTCCAAACTCCTCTGCTGCTGTGGACCACCACAGGCTGCAAAACCTTGTAAGAGCATTGCCCATATTGCTCCTGGGGACACAGCAAGCACCTCAACTCCCTGAGTTCATGTGGGCAGCCCCCTCTCTGCTTTGAGGGGACAAAGCATGGTCCAAGGGCTTCTGCCTCCCTGTTTCCAACCCAGAACCTTCCTGGCAACTCTCACCAGCCCCAGGAGATGCTCTGGATTTTGCTGGGAGCCAGGAGGAACCTGCTGGGGTCCCCTCAGGCTCCCTGATGGCAGGCAACGAGATGTCTCCAGCAGACCCTACCTGGGAGGACAGGACACCTATTACTCCCAAGGCAGAATTTGGCTGCTGCATAGTGTGACAAGGCTCAGCACCTCAGCTCTGAGCCAAGATCCTCGGATGTCAGGGAGCCTTCCTTCCCTGCTACGTGCCTGATTTTGGCAGGCCGTGCCTGGAGCCTGCAGAACAGGCTCAGCTGGCAGCAAGCCCAGCAGGACAGAGCCTGGGGGGAGAGCGGGCTGCAGGCACGTCACCTTGGCAGCACCTCATGGGAGGCAGGGACAACCAGCCCATGTAGGGACAGGGCTGTCCCCAGGAGCCTGGCATGTCCCCACCATCTTTCCCACCTAAGATCAAGCTTCCCAGGCCCTGGCAAGCAGAGGAAAAGGATGGAGAGATGAGGACCTGAACATCAGAAAGCATCCTTCAGGCAGCTGCTGCCTGCCATGACTCTCCAGACCAGCTGCTGATTTAAATTCAAGCCAGATTGAGCCTAACCTCCATTTCCACACCCAGCAACTCCAAGGCAGACAGACAATGACGGAGGGACAACCACATCCCAGAGCCTGGGCTCTCCACCCCTCCTGCAAAAACAACACACCCAAAGACACAGCTCCCCAGACTTAGGGCTTTCCCCGGGACCAGATAGTTTATCCACCATAGCATAGAGAGTTGAGACAGGATCTGCCCCTGAGCATTGCCCCAGCTCTGACAGAGGAACCAGTCCTTTGCAGGGCTGCCACATTCATTCAGCAGACGGGGAACAAGGAGTGCTGGCAACCCCCAGCTGCAATTAAGGGTAGTTCCCAGCTCACTCCCCTGGCACAAGCACTGCTAATCCCCCCTTAACTTCCCTGGGCTGGGAGCTGGAGGGAGCATTTACAGCTGCAGCCAAAGGAACCAGCTGAGGCTCGTTGCCTTGGCTGGAGGAGCCGAGGCTAGGCAGGGTCACACTTCGGAAATATGTGAGAAGTGCAGTGATTAAAAGATTTGAGCTGGCAGTCAGAGCTGTTTCCTTCTGCCCTGCTTCGCTGCTGCCCTGCGCCAGGGC